CCACCTGGCCTCAATACTTCAGCGGAGCGAGATGTCCATGTAGATTTCGAAAGTATATGTACAGTAAATGTTCTTTGTTCAGGACCTGGTCTCCACTACATGCACCATAACAGCGGCTTTGATCCAACGTGTGTGAGCCACATAGAGGCGACATTAAGGAGGAAGCGTTGCAGTCAGATTGTCAGTTCCGAGATCGTAGGCCTGTCAGGTGGCATTCTTCCAAGCCATTTATTGAAACACATTTTAACAGGACGATTTTCAAGAAGCATCCTTTACAATTCTTGCATCCTCAAAAGTTGGTTTGATATAGTATTACTTGCTACGTTTGAGTACCACTTATCAATTAAGATCAGGAATGTACCGCCAAATATGGCGAATAGCTCATCCCGCGGGTGCAGAATGGTTTACCACCGAACTTGCCCTTCGGGTCCAAATACCAAAAGTCGAACACAAAATTAGCTGTCAATAGCTGGCGGGTGCCATAGAGTATGATTACTTGTGCGATATGATGGGGACGGGCGTTGAAAGAGACATGTCGGAAGACCTCGAATGGCGTGGACGAACAGGCGTTGAAGAAACCTTTACCGATTCTCCCGCATTGCAACTATGGCTGCTTCGACCGGTCGCCCAGTTGCTCAAAAGGATTTTGTCCATTGGAAATCGACTAAGTGGAGTTAACTGTCCTTTCTCTTTGGGTCTCGTAGTCCATCTACGAAAACACCATGAATCTTTATTTCGATAGTTTGAAGTAAACTGCGACTATTTTGCGATCCTTACGTCAAACTACAGTGTAATTTAGGATAACTGAAGTATAAACATTCAAATATAGCAGCTTGCTACTAGTACTTGCAACGAGAAAAATACGAAGGAGGCCGCCGTTATAAACTCGTTGCTACGCATTGATGAACTTTCACCTGACCAGTAACGGAACTCGTCTGTCCCCCTCTTTCTTGGGTCTCGATAGGGGCCCCGATGGCCGTAACAGCTGGAGGAAGCAGATAGTATTGTCGGAAAGACAAGGGAGACTGGAATGGCTTACTAGCCGTCATCAGCCAGTCATACCCAGGCTCAAGTGGTGTCCCACCCGAGCCTCGAACTCGCGACCTTTTTGATCGGAGTCGAATGCCCTAACCATTGAGTTCGTTGTCCAGCCGGATTAGATCAGGGGATATTGACACTTATTGATGAACTTTCACCTGACCGCTAACGGAACTCATCTGTTCCGCGCTGCCTCGGGTCTCGATAGAGGTCCCAGTGGCCGTAAGAGCTGGAAGTTGGCAGACAGTATTGCCGGCAAAGACAAGGGAGACTAAAATGACCTGGCCTGTGATTGGGCTTGTGGCTCGAGGGAGCGAAAGTGAGGGGAGTCTGCCAGTGAGTATTGCTTACGTTTCGTAGCTGTAACATGACGTGGATAAACGTAAGGACAGCGAAGTTCAAGAGCTTGAACCAATGCCTTCTGAGATCACCAGATTAGGTAAGTTATCCGTACGGCCACTGCCTCGGCGATCGCGAGTATTCGCTTGCACAGGGACTTGGAGTTCCTCGCAGGTGGAGTTGGAATATTTTGTTGACGTTGAGCAATTAACCACTGTCAACCAAGTAAGGTACAATAGCGCTCAAAATTGATTTACCATATCTTGATCTAACCGGACAGGGTGGTTGTTCTGGATTGGCTTGGACAGATGCCTTATCGTTCAACCAATATAAGCTGCCCCTTGGGAGTAAGTGTAGGTATAGATTCAATCAGTCTGAAAGCGCAGCCTATACCCACCTTCAAGGCGAAGAAGTGAAGTGCTTGTAAAAATTTATTTTAGCTTCCGTTTTGCAATTTGTTTTGAAAACTTTATTCGGCAGACGCATGTTTTTAGCAATTAATCATCCGGCCAGTACAATTTCAGGGATAAGGAAAATCGTACAGTTTGAGATGGTATATAAGTGTACCTGTATTACAACTCAACGTT